ACTATAAACAATTAATACAATGACAAAATTTTCTCTTAGGAATACTTTATTTTGTCCATAAATATGGGCAATTTTAAAGTAAGTATCATAATCAACTATTCTTATTTATAATAATCACATAAAAGGTTCAACTTGTAATCCCTTAAAAGGTAAATTAAGTAGATAGAGGCCATGTTGTTTATATAAAATAAAATAGAAAATATCAAAGTATTTCATGTAGCTCCAGTTGCAGAACAATCAAGTTCAGAAACTACTGGCCTAAAACAGTGCCCAGAACATGTTTTATTTGTCTTTCCTGAGCATTAATATTTCTTTTAAATTAGCCATCTTAACAATAACTCTTCACTCAAAGTCTACTACTGACCACCCCTCTGCAAACAAACCATGAGTTCTCACAGAAATCTTGGAAGATACTAGCCCCATCTAATAGTAGGAACTAAAGCTAAGTAACCTGTCCAAGGGTACCATAAAGTGGTAGACGACTTGAACTTGGTTTGTCAACAAAGCCCACAGCTTTCTGCTACAGCTCCCCTCCTTATAGTCGTCTCAGAATATAAGTCTGCAATAAAATTTCCATGATAAAAATCAATTTTCTCAGAGTACTTACACATGGCCTAAACATGACTATAACCTGTGTTACTTATTTTTCCATTATGTTCAATTTATAAATTCACATAGAATATTTTCCATTTATATACTCCTTCAAAGAACCTTCCTTGATACTCAAAAAAAACAGACTAACCTTTCTGATAGTCAAAGCATATACAACTAACTATACAGAAAAGTATTTCAGTTCAGCAAATGGAAAATTTCCAATTAAAGAAAAGAAAAATTATCTGAAAAACTGAACCATGGGAAATTACTGTTAGGCCTGATGAAAACAATGAATTGAAACCCGAAAGTTTCATAACCAGTCAAATTATTTCCTAGCCAGATGAGCAAATCTAAAGCCAAGTAAGTAAGCAGGGATTAAAGTATCAAATTTAATTATATGAAACTGTCATCAAATATCAATTCACATGACTCGCTGTAATGCTTAAAAGGCTACCTAGCTCAGGTTCTCTCTACATGTGTTCCTGGAACACAGGTTCAGCAGAATGTTACAAAATTTACAAAATTACAGAAATCACCAAAAAAAGTTCGTTGGTGAGTCTGGGAAACAGTAAATTTCAACAAAGTTAAAACTGGTCTCTACCTCATAACTTCTCAGAGCCCTTAGTGTGTTAATATGAAGTAAGAACCTGCAAAAAGAAGGATTCATTATCCTAATGAAGCTAAAGAAGGTGTATGAAGATTAAATGACCTATCCAAGGTCACACAGCTAGCTACTGGCAAACTTAGAATGAGAATCAAATTCTGATTCCCACTCCAAAATTCATTCTATCCTCCTAAGATCTCATTATACTTGATATTAAGCAATTTTCCAAGGACAACTCCTATAAAAATTTGAGATGGAAAACACTAGTGGCTTGTGCTGACAGTATTTACCACCACCCCACCAAAACAAATTAACAACAACAAAAAAAGTAGCAAAGAATTCTTACAAAACAACAAAACCTTCTCAAAATACGCTGGGACACAGTATTTATGAAATTTACCCACCAAAACTTATATTCTTACATAAAAAAATTTCCTCCAGGAAATCAGAGGTATAATCTTTTCTAATCAGTAACTGGATGGAAGTTAAGGATGGCAACCTAGATGGTGAGGTCCATCAGAGCAGGGCCCATGGTGATTTTGCTCACCAATGTACCATTGGTACATTGTCTGATACATAGCAGGTATTGTGTATTGTCTGATACATAGCAGGTATTCCATAGCTAATTGCTGAAAGAATGAATAATAAATCCATGCTCTAATATTAATCACTTGTAAGATTCTGATCAAGTTATAATCTCTCTGAATGTGAGTTTCCCCACTTGCAAATGAAGTGGTTAGACCAGAAGGATCAAAATCTTTAAGAACTTGTGAATCTCATAGAAATTAAATCTCAAATCCCCGGCATTTGAGGATATGTCCACCATCGAAAATTGTAACAAAAAATAACATTTGCAAATCACTTTATATTCAGTATTTCACTTAACATGCCTAACAAATTTGCAAACTAGCTTGGTAATACTACCCACATTTTACAGATAAAGAAACTGGAGCCCAGAAAAACTGACTAGATCAGAATCACAAGGTTATTTGGTAGTGAAGCATGGACTTTGTTTTTTTTTTTTTTTTTTTTTGCTTATAAATAACAGAAATTTATTTCTCACAGTTTTGGAAGCTAAAGGTTTGCAATCAGGGTGCCAGCATGGCTAGGTTTTGGTGAGGGGCCTCTGCCAAGCTGCAGACTGCTGTCTTTTTAGTGTATTCTCCCATGGCAGAGAGATGATGAGAGAACTCTCTGGAGTCCCTTTTACAAGTATGGTATAGAGAGGACTGCACCATCACGACTTAATTACCTCCCAGAGGTCCTACCTCCTAACACTGTCACATTTAGGGTTAGGATTTCAACATGTTTTGGGGTGGGGGTAGACACAGACTTCCAGAAGCACGGACTTTAAACTCAAGGTTTGGGTGCTGAAATCCCCCAATCTTTCCATTACACCTTGTCCTCTGATGACAGGGATGAGGACACAGTCCAGATAATGACAGCATTATTTCCCGGCTTTCAACTATTGATTTAACTGGGCCAGAGGACCAAAGGTCTCCCAAACTCTCCCATCATCCCATCTTCGAATGTTAAACCTCCAACTCTTCTGTGAAGAAAAATGATCTTAATACAACAAATTAATCACGTTTCTCTTGGTGTCCAAGATAATTAATAACAATTTTAACAGAGGATGACATTATCAAGGAATGAGAAGAACCTAAATTATGAATAAAAATCTTTCACAGTAAAAAGAGTTTTAGTTCAAATATATACCCATGGTTAAGGATGTTAAATTCAAAGGTCACCTTAAACCATGATTAGACTACATTTAAAATAAGAGCTTCACTTTTGGAAACTCTGCTGGTGGAAATGAGGCAATTTGAACTATTAACTTTTCTAGGTCTTCTTACATAATATCATACTTCACAATATTATTTCAAGTGTAACTTCTCTTAACTCCAATAAGGAATAAACCCAATTCTGGGCTCAATCCTGGTGTTAAACAAGTGGCATTTACAACATAACCTTCTCTTCCAAGAAATACAATTGGGCAACCAGAAGCATCTGGGTAATGGAATGCAATTTCACCCAGGCTTTATTTAACTCAACAGCGGACTCTATTTGTTAACTCTATTAACCTTCTGTCTTAAAATATATCCATATTCTATGTCAAATAAAATTGTTTCTCACAACTATAGCAAAATCCCCCTTGAATAGGGACTATATCATACTAAAATAAACATATACTTACTAGACCTCTCAAGTACATAGCACTGCATTCAATTCTCTGCCAAGAAAATGAAATAAGCACTAGCTTTCTGAAGTTTACAAGTGGAAATAGTTTAGAATATGCTTACAGTGAGTTGTAATTAAGTATAAGTAAATAAAACAGGCAGACCTAATAATCCTGCTGTTGCAGCTGCTCTTTAGTCACTTCAGTCGTGTCTCAGTTAAATCAACAGTTCTTTTGCGCTCCTCGGTCCATGGGATTTCCCAGGCAAGAACACTGGAGTGGGTTGCCATTTCCTCCTCCAGGGGATCTCCCTGAATAATCCTGAAGTGTAACTAAAGAAAAAATTTCCTCCTCCAAAACAATGTCAATCATGCTCATCCAATAAATATATACTCAGAAATGGCATATCTGGCTCATTTATAACACAAGACTGTTACCATTGTATTCTGGAAACTTCAGTAAGTGTGCACAATGAACATAAATTTAGCCTATTAACAGCTAAAAATCTCCTTACACCCAAAAGGTCCCATACCTGCAAAGAACTGACCGTGAACACAAGTGAGAATTGTTAACTGAAACCAAAGCTTCAAGTCATTGCATCAATTGGTACCTAAATTCGTCTGCTGGTAAATGCCCCATAGCATCAGAGTCATCACCACTTCACCACTGATGTGAGAAGAGCTGTTGAAATCTTGCGGGCCAGTCAAAAACCTCAGTGAACTGTCACAAAATAAAAGCCGCAGCATATGTGACAGCTTCGCAGGCCAATCTAAAAAACAAAACCTGGGACCATCGAATTTAGGCGATTCTCGGGGCAGAGTACCTAGAATAGCCTATGTTATTTATCAACGCGCCACGCAGTCTCCAGGGGAGCGCAGCAGATGATAACTTAGGTCCCAGGACAAGGCTCCTCTCCACCAAGGATGACTTTCCTAATTGGTGCCAACTGTACACTTGCATGCTCCGAAAATAGGGGCAAGTCCTGAATGCCAGAGGTTGCAAGGGCAACGTTTCTATTTTATTATGGGCTGGAGCCCAGACGATTCCCCAAGGCTGAAAACACTCGACCTATAACCTCGGAGTCCTTTTCCAACTGTGCTCTCACCCACGATCATTACAGCCTCCACGGAAACCAGTTATTAGTTGTTACAAGGCCTGGAAAAAATAGTAAGAAGGCTCTAAAAGTTCACGGGACCCACAGGGAAAAGGTGGGGGCTTGGAGAGAGAAATCCAAACGCTGAAGCATCTTGGGCTCCAACGTTCCGAGAGCCAAGATCCATACAAAGCCCCTCGTCCCCGGTGACTGCAGGCAGGGGACCCACCGATTCCCAGTCACTCGGACAAGATGGGGTTCCGGGGGGAGATCACCCCGCCAGGCAGCCCGGACGAACGCTCTGTCCGGACGCGGTGGGCCAAGCGAGGCGGGGGCTGCAGCGTGGCCGGGCGGAGCGCGCAGCCCCTTCTCCCGGGCCCCTTGCTCCCTCCTTCCCCACGACCAGGCCTCTCCCGACTCCTTTTCCCCAGCTTCGCCTCCCCGCCTCCCCTGCCCCCCGCAGACACAACAGAACAAAACCCCCCCTTCCCCCCGCAAACCCAACTTTCCCGTCCCCCCGCTTTCTCTCCCACCTCTCAGGAGCACGCAGAAACTGCAGGCCAGGAGGCTCCTCAGGACAGCCCCCATCTTCCCTTCTCGCGCTCGCTTCTCTCACCGGCGAGGGGCGGCCCGAAGAAGGGGAGGCGAGGAGCCGGGGCGGCCGCCGCAGCGGCAGGGCTGCACGCTCATGCTTCCCAGCTTTCCAGAGAGAGAAGAAAGAAAGGGGGGCCCGTCAAGGCTCCGCGCGCGCCGCCGCCGCCGCCCTCTCTACCGCGCCGCTCCGCCCGGAGCTCGCGCGACGCCAGCGTCTGCTTCCATCCCGCCGCCTCCTCCCCCGGCGCCCCGCTTCCCCCGCGCAGCTCCTCATTCAGCCTCTTCCTCTCACGCAGCGGCGCAGGGATACGCCTCCCGCCGTCACGGCTCGCCGCCGAGGTCTCCCTGCGCGCGGGCGAGCCCTCCCCTCCCTGGGCGCCGCCTCCCGGGCAGGTTAGAAAAGGAGAAGAGACCGTGCGCACAGCCTCGGCGAGGAGACCCCGGGAGATCGGCGGGGCCAGCAGAGGCGGGCAAGAGGGGAAAGGCCGCCCGGCGGCGCATTCCGAAGGGATTCTTTCCCGGCCGGCCCCTTCTGCCCTCCCCGCGGAGGGCGTGAAGCGACGTCGAACAACCTCGGGAGCCGGCGTGGTCGGGACTACTTTCTGCGGCTTGGCCCGGCAGCCAGCTGCGCCGCTCTTTGTGCGGCCGCCGCCGGCCGAGCCAGATGGGGCTCCCTGTCCACGCCGGCCGCCACCTGGCCCGGGGCCACGGTGGGCGGCAGGAGACTGCTGACTGGGGACGCAGGTCCACGCTCGGGGAGCCACCTGGATCCCGATGCGAGGCATGAGTTTAGTCCCAGGGTTGGAAATCTGTTTAAGCATCTTTTTCTTTTTTTTTTTTTTAAGGAAAATAAAAATTAATGTTGCTTCCACCGGCTTTGAACATGGGTATGGTGAAGGGTATTCAAACGCCAACAGAAAACTGAAATTTTTAAAATTTTCTCCCGGTTTCCCAGAACTACAGTTTGCCCACCAAAATTAAGTCCGACAAGGACTAAAGGATTTCTAAACGGGCAGATAAAATTCTAAGATAAATGCGTCAGCACCTAACAGAGCAAAGGGACGGTGCTAGAATTTTGCAAACTGCATTTAGTGATAAATGTCTGGCATGTTTTGACGATCCGCTCTCAGATTGGAGAGGAAAAGATTCTTCGGAATCTCAGACTCTGGATTTTGCACAGCATCTGGCCGGCTGCTCGCCGCCTTGCACTGGGCGTTCAGGAGTAACAGCCCAGAAGCCCTTGGAATCACGTGGCAGCTTGGGGGCGGGGGGTGGTGAAGTAAGGGGGATAGCACCACTGAGAGTTAACCTAAAGAAGCCATCAGCAGCATTCTACCCACCTGTCAGTCACCCTTACCTGTGAGCAGGTGGCGCGGAGCCGGAGCTACTCCAGCAGTAACATTGAAATTCACTAAGTGCTGCTCACACTCAGGTCTGACACTCATAACTACCCTGGGGTAAGACAGGTTGTGTCACTTGGCATCCTCATTGCATCAGAGGGGGAAAATGGGAACCTAGGGGACTCAATGACTTTCCCAAGGCCACACACGTAGACCATAGCAAGTCCTGACCTAACCCAGGTCTTCCGACCACAAAATGGAAATGGACATCGAGCTAAGGTGATGCGTGTCTGTAAGCGGATTGTTTAGCGAAATCAGTCGTGTCCGACTCTTTTGCGACCCCGCAAACTGTAGCCTGGCAGGCTCCTCTGTCCATGGGATTTCCAGGCAGGCTAGAAAGAGCCAAATCTCTCTCCTCAACGCACCTGTGAAAGTCTAGCCACCACTGATCTAAATTACCTTCTTCCATGAACCGTGTCAGGATTCTGCAAGTTTTGTATTCTGTCATCCTCAAATCACTAAGAACCGGTTTTCAACAATAACCCAGAAAACATTACCTCGAAGCTATGAGGCTGTGAAGACACCATGATGTAGTCAGGAAGGTATGAGCTTTGGAATAAGACCAGAAGGATCCAACGCTTGCAGTCACTAGATGTGTAACTCTGAGGATACGATTTAAGCGCACTGCACCTCAGTTTTCTCATCTGTAACATGGAGATTTTTGTTTTCAGGCTTGTGGTAGGAATTAAATTTGAAAATATATAGAAACTGGTCACTATGTAATAGGTGCTCAATAAATGATCATTTCCTTTCCCAACTCCTGCAAGGCAAATGGGATCCTGGTAACTGGGAATCCTTTAGACATCATGGAAACAAAGGGAAAAAATAATCATGCTCAAAATGTTTAGTCCAGGATTATTTCTAGTTGGAGGTCGATAACTGCAAAGCCAATGAAAATTAACCTTCAGGACTCCCTTCCCACTTTCACAGGCCCCTGTGAAACACAATGTGTTCACATGGTCATATTTGCAAAAGTAAGATAATTTTGTGTTCTTTTTCTGAAAAAATCACTCAAAATTGTATAAATTTCAGGTTCACAAAACCTGGATCTATTCCTATTTATAATAGAAAACTGGGTATAACCTAAGTCTCATTTGGACTATCAACCTTAGTAGGGAATTGAGATATTTGTAGTCCTGGAAAATAATAATTTGGAGGACTATAAAACTGTTAGAAAAATGTTTACAGTTCGTTAAGCTTGAAAACTTATAAAAATGCACATATTTTTTTAAAAATATTTATTTATTTGCCTGTACAGGGTCTTAGTACAGCTTGTAGGATCTTTAGCTGTGGCATGTGAAGTTTTAGTTTGCAGCATGTGGGATCTAGTTCCCAACCAGGAATTGAACTGGGATCCCCTGCATTGAGATCACAGAATCTCAGCCACTGGACCACCAAGGAAATCCCAAAGTGCATGTAGATTTTAATTACAGCTATATAAAATATAAATATATACCTACATGTTTAAATATAAACATATATACATTAATATCACATGTTTGAGAAAAGACAAAAATTAAATGCACTAAAACAGTGATTAGGATAGTGAATCAATAGGAAATTTACTTTAGTTTTCTGGTTTTAAATTTGCTTTAATGTGTTATTTATTTTTTTACAATTTCTTTAAAGCTACTCAGGTGAAAATCTATAGCTTAAGTTCAGTCAGGTTGCTGTTCTTCTTAATAATTTGTTTCACGTGCATTCAAGTGCCTATTAAAAATATTCAAGGCCAGTCTCAGTAAAGCGCTGGGCATGCAAAGATAAGATTAATCATATAGTCCCTACCCTCTAGAAGCTTACAACCTCGTTTAAAAAATCCAATTAATGAAACAAAAATAAATAAATAGTTAAAATTACTGTAGTGCATGTTTGTACCATACCAACAAGGAACTCAAGTACAGAGCACTTATGGCTAACTGAACAATTTAAAGAAGGGAAAATAACCCTGCAGTTGAGTCTTGAAACTTAAGTCAGAGTTTGTCAAGCCAACATGACTGACAAGGAATTCCAAGCAGAAGGAGAGCAGGTGCAAAGACACTGAATTATTAGAGAGAGAGCTTGGCATGTTGGGAATCCGAAAGTAGATCCATATATCTGAAGCCTAGGGCGCTTTCAGAGAATATCAGGAAATGAGGCAAGACCGTTAAGTAGGTATTGGATAATAAAGAGCTTTTAAAGTCATGCTAAGAAGTTTAGATTTTCACCTCTTGACAGTGTGGATATTGAAGGATTTTTCTCATGGTGAGAATTGATTTGCATGTTAAATAATTTCTCTGGCAGCAGCATGGGCAACAGAAGGGAGGCAAGGCAGAAAAAAAAAAAAGGTAGGAAGACCAGTGATGAAGTTATTTTTAGTCTATGAAAGAGATGGTCAGGATAGCAGCAGTGGAGTTGGAAAAGGGGTGGTAGATTTCAGGAACATGAGATCAGAAGTGCAGGACTTGGTGACCCATCAGATATGAATTGAGAGAGACAGAAGTAGACTAGGATGAATTTCCAGGTTTCTAAATTATGCATCCCAGTGAATGGCAGTCTTATTTACTAAGAAAAGAAATGCATAAGGAGCATTTCAAGAGGGGCTGATGGTAAGTTCAACAATGGGCCTTTTATACTGGCGGTGTTTGTAAAACACCAAGCTGCAGCTATCCAGGAGAATGTGTTGTTCTATTTTTCTCAAATTTTTATTGGAGTATAGTTGGTTTACATGTAATGTAATGTTAGTTTCAGGTATACCGCAAAGTCAATCAGTTATACATATATCTACTCTTTTTTTTAGATTCTTTTCCTTAATCAGCAATTACAGAGTATTGAGCAGAGTTCCCTGTGCTACACAGTAAGGTTCTTATTAGTTATTTATTTTATATAGTAGTGTGTATATGTCCATCCCAATCTCCCAGTTTATCCCCCCACATACCTCCTGGTAACCATAAGTTGGTTTCTACATCTATAGTTCTGTTTTTGTTTCTTTTTTCTTTTTTTTTAATAGATTCCATGTATAAGCCATCAGTTCAGTTGCTCCGTCATGAAATATCATATGACATTTGTCTTTGTCTGATTTAATTCACTCAGTATGACAATCCCTAGGTCCATCCATGTTGCTGCAAATGGCATTGTTTCATTCTTTTTTTTTAGGACTTCCTGATGGTAAAGACTTGCATTTTAAAAGGAAATGGCAACCTACTCCAGTGTTCTTGCCTGGAGAATCCCAGGGATGGGGTCGCACAGAATCGGACACGACTGAACTGACTTAGCAGTAGCAATGGTAAAGACAGTACAGAATTTTCCTGCATTGCAAGAGACCTGAGTTCAGTCCCTGGGTCGGGAAGATCCCCTGGAGAACGGAATGGGAACCCACTCCAGTATTCTTGCCTGGAGAATTCCATGGAGCCTGGTGGGCTACAGTCCATGGGGTTGCAAAGTCGGCTAAGCAATATTCCGTTGTATATATGTACCACATCTTTATCTACTCCTCTGAACATTTAGTTTGTTTCCATGCCTTGGCTATTGTAAATAGTACTTCAGTGAACATTGGGCTGCCTGTATCTTTTCAAATTATGCTTTTCTCTGGATATATGTCCAGGAGTGGGATTGCCGGATCATTTTGTAGCTCTATTTTTTGTTTTATGAAGAACCTCCATACTGTTCTCCATAGTGGTTGCACTAATTTACAT